AGACACCCTTGATATTTAGCAAGACTCTAACATTCACATACCTCAGAAAACATGCAATTATTGACTATGAGGGCTTTTTAAAGGTTCTATTGAGGCCAAGGTAAAGGTAGGAAATTTTTTTGGAATTTCTGAGTTTTTGAAATTGATATAGAAAGAGTAATGACACTTGATTTCAAAAACACCTTTATTATTTGCTGCTATTTTAAGGAAGATTTTTTCCTTTTCCTTTTTCCTTCTTTTTTTTCTCAAAATTATGACTTTTCATCTTCCTTTTTGCCAATCTTATTATTTTGTGGGTGAGGCACTCACCCACACACTTATTTATCACTTACTTCTAACACAATCCATTACTCCTTCTTTCCTAAGGTAAGGAACATATGATTTTTCTTCTTTTCTCATTTGACAATGACTGAAAACAAGGAAAATAGTCTTAAGGCTCAAAGGGTTTTCCAACGGATTAATGTTAGAACAAGTTTGTTTGGCAAAGTAGCTAAAACAAGAAATGTCTCAATCATATCAAGTCATGCATATTCACCTCAGTTGCACAACACAAAATCAAGCAAAATATTAGAGTATCAACAAAGCACGGGCAAATCACTCAAGAAAAGTAGGTATGGCACATGATGGTCCATCCTTAACATTAGGCACAAAACTCACATGGTCCAAATTTCTTTCACAAAAGATTTAATCAAGAAATTCTCAATTCAACTCAATCAGCAAATCATAGAAGCAATCCACTCATATCAACATGACTCGTTTTTTCCTTCTCTTGAATTCATGATCATTCTAGTTACTGATTCAAACTCTCAAATCCATTGCAAATATTTTTTTAAAAAAAATGAAATAGGGAACAAATCAAATTATTTCCCCACACCCCCACATTTAAACTATGCATTGTCCTTAATGTATGCCTTATATAGAATGCAAAGAGAAAGTATGAGGGTACTTACCTCCTTTATGGTGAAAGGAGTGTTGGAGTGGTCAAATTCACCTCATTCATTGTCTTGTTCCGCATGTCTTGATTTTCATTGAATGTCCGCAGACGATGGTCATTAACTTTAAAGATTCTATCAGAAGATTCTTCCTTGATTTCCACTGCTCGATAGGGAAATACTTGTGTTACAATGAATGAGCCTTCCCATTTGGATTGTAATTTACCACTTATAAGCCCCATCCTAGACTTGTACAACAACATTTTGATCTATGTTGAAATCCATTTTGGTCACAAGCTTTTGGTCATGGAATTTCTTGGTTTTATCTTTGTAGAAATTGAAGTTTTCATAGGCTGTAAGCCTAATCTCCTCTAGTTCTTGCAATTGGAGCTTTCGCTCTTTCCCTGCTCCATCCATGTCCAAGTTACAAGCTTTCATAGCCTAGTAGGTCCGATGTTAAATCTCCACAAGTATATTACAAGCCTTTCCAAAAACAACCCTGAAAGGTGACAGTGCTTTGTAGGTCGTCCAATGTGCCCAAAGTGCATCATCCAATCTTGTGGCCCAATCCTTCTTATTTGGCTTCACCAACTTTTACAATATCTTCTTGATCTCTCTATTACATACCTCAGCTTGTCAATTAGTTTGGGATTGATATGGTATAGCAATGCGATGCGTCACCCCATACGTTTTCAACATATTCTCTAACAACTTATTGCAAAAGTTGGTCCCTTGATCAATAACGATGGCTCGTGGTATCCCAAACCTACAGAAAATGTTAGACCTAAAAAAACTCATAACAACTTGAGACACATTAGTCCTTGTAGCTATGGCTTCCACCCACTTGGAAACATAGTCTATAATAAGTAAAATATAAGTAAACCCAGAAGAGGAAGGAAATAAACCCATGAAGTCAATACCCCAAATATCAAATACCTCACAATATAGCATGGGTTGTTGAGGCATCTCTTCCCTTCTGGTGATGGATCTGGCTGCCCTCTAACATTGCTCACAATTTTATATATCCTTCGTGCATCTTTAAAGATGGTAGGCCAATATAATCAACAATCCAACACCTTCGTAGATGTCCTTTGTGTGCCATAGTGTCTTTCAAAAGGTGATGAATGACAAAATTCAAGCACATAAGGTATCTCTATGTCAAGAACACACCTCCTTATGACTTGGTCACTACCAATGCGCCATAAGAATGGTTCATCCCATACATAGTACTTCGCCTCACTTTTCAGTTTGGCCTTCTCAGATTTGGAGAAAGATGGAGGAATAACTGAAACAGCCAAATAGTTAACAATGTGAGCAAACCAAGGTTCAAGATACATACCTTTTACAATAGTCAATGCTAGTAGAATTTCATCAGGAAAATCATCCTGAATAGGAATTTCATCATCTTCTTTTTCAATCCTACTAAGATGGTCTGCTACTATATTATGAGCTCCACTTCTGTCTCGAATCTTAATGTCAAACTCTTGGAGTAGTAGCATCCATCTTATCAACCTTTGTTGGGAATCTGCTTTCTTTAGAAGGAATTTCAATGCAGCATTATTTGTATAAACAATTACCTTGGATACAACAACTAGTAATTCCTTCTCAGTTTTGATATAATTTTCATGTGCAATATCCAATGTCCGAGAAGCATAGTATATCACATGTGGTAACTTCCCATCTCTTTGTGCAAGTACCGCTCTTACTGCAAAGTTTGATGCATCACACATCAACTCAAATGGTAATGTCCAATCGGGTGGTTGAATGATAGGAGTGGTAGTGAGTGCCTTTTTCAAGGAATAAAAAACGGCTTTGTGCCTCTCTCCAAAGTCAAATGGTACGTCCTTCTGAAGTAAGTTGGAGAGAGGATTAGTTATCTTGCTAAAGTCCTGTATAAACCTCTTGTAAAACCCTACATGTCCAAGAAAAGATCGAACCTCTCATACAAAAGAGGGTTAAGGCAACTGTGAAATAACATCACTTTTAGTTGGGCTTACAGATATATCATTCCTGGAAACGACATGACCTACAACTATACCTTATTCCACCATAAAATGACACTTTTCAAAATTCAAGACATGGTTAGTTTCCTTACATCTCTACAAAACTCTTGTAAGGTTAGCTAAACAATTATCAAAAGATGAACCATACACACTTGAAATCATCCATAAAAACCTCTATACAATGCTCCAATAAGTTTGTAAGAATACTCAGCATACATCGTTGAAATGTACCAAGAGCATTGCAAAGGTCAAATGGCATTTTCCGATAAGCATATGTGCCAAAAGGACAAGTAAATGTCCTTTCGAGTGAATTGATTCAATCTCTTATAGTCAATAAAAACCCTCCAACTATTCTGAATACAAGTACGAATTAACTCATCCTTCTCGTTCCTTACCACTATGGTTCCAGATTTCTTGGGAACCACATGTATAGGACTCACCCAAGTGTTGTCAGAAATGGGATATATAACACCTTCTTGTAGCAACTTGGTGACCTCTTTCTTCACAACCTCCATTAGTTGAGGATTCAGTCTTCTTTGAGGTTGTCTCACTAGTTTAGCATCATCCTCCAAAAGAATTATGTGCATACAAAAAGAAGGGCTAATACCAGGAATATCTGCCAAAGTCCAGCCTATTGCTTTCTTGTGATCTCTAAGAACCTATAATAGCTGTTTTTCCTACTCATCAGTAAGCAATGCAGATATAATAACAGGGAGTTTCCCATCCTTCTCAAGATAAACATATTTCAAATGGGATGGTAAATGTTTCAACTCCAAAACGGGTGGTTGTACCACAAAAGGTAACATTTTACTGCCTAAGGTAACCTCAGCCACCTCAACGTCACACTCGGACGCCATAGAGGTATCATCTATTAACATCGCATCCACGATATCACCTACTTTATAATTTTCTTCGTCGTCCATAGTTAGGCACGACATATTTGAAAAAGAAAAAACCAAAGATGGAGAAAAAGTTGAAAAAACGTCTAGGAAACTAAAAGAAAGATTGTTTACAACATCACTTAATAAATCGATACAAAACAGAGAATGATCTTCCATTGGGTGCTTCATGGCTTCCAATACGTTAAAATGCACCTTCTCGTCTCTTATCTCCATGGTTAGTGTTCCTGCATGTGCATCTATCTTTGTTCGTGTTATCATCATTAAAGGTCTTCCCAAGATAATAGTTGATGATTTTATTCCTTCCTCATCCTTCATATCCAATACGTATAAATCTACAGGAAAAATTAACTTGTCTACTCGAACAAGGATGTCCTCAAGCACACTTGCAGGGTTAACTATGCTACGATTGGCCAGTTGAATGACCACACCAGTAGTCTTAAGAGATCCTAGAGATAGGGAAGTAAACACTGATAAAGGCATTATATTTATAGAAGCTCCTAAATCTAACATGGCATTGTCAAACCTTGAACTTCTAATAACACAAGGAACAGAAAACATACCTAGATCCTTGCATTTCTGTGGTATCTCAATATGTTTCTTAACCAAGCTAGACACATTTTGTCCCAAATTCACAACCTCGTTATCCCTAAAACGCCTTTTATTTATGCAAAGTTCTTTCAAAAACTTGGCATAATTAGGGTTTGCTTAACAACATCTAGCAAGGGAATGTTGATCTCCACCTTTTTTGAAAGTATTTAAGATCCCTTAGTCTAATTCCTCCATTTTTTTATTTCTCGGCTTCAACCGATTTAGATATGAAGGAGGTGAAGAATAAGATGAAGAAGAATTTTTAGAAAAAGAGTTAGATGATACTAACCTGCATTTATCAGTGGTAGTCTCAGGTGGTGGTTCACTTGGTCCTCCATTGTCGTTAATTTTGGTGTCTTCTTTCTCTTTATCTTCATCCTCTTGGGCTCCCTCAAAGCCTTGTACTTGCTTCCCCGTTCTTAAAGTAATGGTATTTGCATTTCGCGGGTTGATAACTGTTTGTGCAGACAACTTATTTGACTCCTTAGCCTCTAACTTATCCACCCTCTGAGTCAACTCTGCAATTGATTTCTTCATTTCTGAATTTTTCTCAACTATCGTCTTCATGAAGTCTTCTAGTGACATTTCAGTTTGGAATTGTTGCCTTTGCTGAGGTAGAACATAAGGTTGTTTGTGTTGCTGATATGGCTTGTTGCCTCCAAACATGTACTTGGATCCTTGCATTTTCGCGGTATTTCAATATGCTTCTTAATCAAACTTGACACATTTCTTCTCAAATTCACAACCTCATTATCCCTAAAACTCCTTCTATTTGTGCAAATTTCTTTCAAAAACTTGACATATTTAGGAATTTGCTTAACAACATCTAGCAAAGGAATATTGATCTCCACCTTTTTGAAAATATTTAAAATCTCTTGGTCTAATTCCTCCATTTTTTTGTTTCTCGGCTTCAACCGATTTGGATATGGAGGAGGTGGAGAATAAGAAGAAGAAGAAGTTTTAGAAGAAGAGTTAGAGGGTACTAACCTGGATTTATCAGTGGTAGTCTCAGGTGATGGTTCACTTGATCCTCTATTGTCATCAATTTGCGCTCCTTCTTTCTCCTTATCTTCATCCTCTTGGGCTCCTTCAGGGCCTTCTACTTGCTTACCCATTCTCAAAATAATAGCACTTAAATTTTGCGGGTTGATCACTGTTTGTGCAGGTAATTTATTTGACTCCTTAGCCTCTAATTTTTCCACCCTCTGAGTCAACTCTACAATTGATTTCTTGATTTCTGAATTTTGCTCAAGTATTGTCTTCATGAAATCTTGCATTGACATTTCAGGCTCAGATTGTTGCCTTCGTTGAGGTGGAACATAAGGTTGTTTGTTTTGCTGATATCTATTGGAGGACGAATCATGATAATTTTGGTATGGTCTATTTCCTTCAATCATGTTTGTAGCAAAAGCTTGAGATGGGTTTTCCACAGTGGTTTCCACCAAGCTAGGACATTTATCAATATAATGGTTAGTTGAAATGCAAATTCCACACTTCTTAGCAATTTGTGGAGTTGAGGTTTTAAACAAACTTGCAATCTCGTCAAGTTTGCTTTCTAGCTTATTCAATCTTTCATCTATCCTCTTTCCATCAACTGCACCATTATCAATTTCCTGCACTCCCTTCAACAAACTCACTGAATTTTCTCTTGTGTCATACTATTGATTGTCTACTGTTTTCCGTTCTATTAGATCTATACCATCTTCTGGTGACCTGTCTAAGAAAGATCCTCCACTTGCAGCATCTGCCCATGTCCTATTAGTAGGACTTCAGCCTTCATAAAAGCTTAGAATAAAATCTTCCATTTGGAGTTGAGGGCATGAAGAACATAGTTTCTTGAATCTTTCCCAATATTCACTAAGATTATCTCTATCTCTTTGTCTTATATCTTGAATTTCTCTACGGATAGCTGATAATCTAGATGCAGGAAAATACTTCTCAAGAAAGAGTCTTTCAATAGTTTCCCAATTTGTAATACGTGTAGAGAGATAATACCACCAATCTTGAGCTGCGCCTTGAAGAGTAAAAGGAAAAGCTCTCATTTTAAGCCTCTCTATTGTGATCCTTGGAGATCTAAAGTTTTCACACAACATGTGAAATTGTCTCAAGTTCTTGTGTGGATTCTCCCTTGATAACCCATTGAACTTTGGTAAGGCATTTAACAGGTCAGGTCTCAACTCCCACTCCTCATTAGGATATTCAATGTTACTTCGGATAGCTGTATTGTGGGAGGTGGCTAACTGTCTTATGGTTCTTTGTGCCATATTGTTTGGGCTAGGATCAGGTAAAGGATTTGATGGTATGTTTGTGATGAGAGATAACGAAGGTGGTATGACTTCAGATGTAGGAAGTGTTCCCTCAGTAGAACACCCAAATTTCAAACTTCTTCGCAGCTTACGTAAATTCCTTTCGACTTCTGGGTTAATTTGATAAAATTCTCCTGGGTTAGCTCTGGTCATGCACTACGCAATCTGCTTAGAGTTGTTTCTTTGTTTCTTCTCTTTTTCTTTTGTTCTTGCTTTAGAGAAAGATTTCAAATAAGAGATAAGAGAAACTTATTGGGTCCACTCCCAGGAAAGAGAGGTGTGTCACAACGGACAACTTAAGTACCAAGTCTTTCCTAGCCAGAGTGTATTCAACTAGCCTCAAGTATTTCTCAAGAGAAATTCTTAATTAAAACAAGAACAAAGATTTTTGCTAAAACAAGAATGACTAAAGACTACAAAATAACTCAAATTAAATTAAATGCATGTGTGTTAAATAAATAAAAAATAAAATAAAATAAAATAAAAATAAAAATAAAAGTAAAAATAAGAATCAAAATATTCAAAATACTAACCGTATTCCCCGGCAGCGGCGCCAAATTTGATACGCTGTCGTTGAAGCTATCAAATTAATACTACTTTTCAAGTCAACTTCAGTATTGCCAAGTAGTATCCAAGAAAGTAGATAGGGTTAAAGTAACCCTGAGTCGTCTCCCTACGAACACGGAATTGCTTTTGAATATCTGACTCTTATGAATGTTATGCAATGCTTAAAAGTAATGGTTGAAGAATGTTTAAAGAA